TATATATATATATATACCGGCTGAAAAGTTCGTAGGCTGACACATAGATGGGGCTACTATTATCAAAAACATATGATTTTTAGTTAGTTCTAACCTTCGAAAGACACGTGTATAAATTCGACAGCTGTCGGAGTTTGTGAGATATAGTATTTTTAGTGAAGCAACTTTTGTTGGTTTAAAAACAATGGATAAAAAGGAATTTCGCGTGTTTATAAAGCATTGCTTTTTATCGAAGAAAAATACTCTTGAAGCAAAGGCTTGGCTTGAGAAACATTATTCGAACTCTGTACCAGAAAATCAAGCATTGAGAAGTGATTTGCTAAGTTTAAACAAGGCGAAATGAACACCGACGAAGATGCGCACCGTGGACTCCCCAAAGAGGCTGTTAGCGAAGAAAATATCAAAAAAGTCCACAAAATAATTTTAGATTACCGTAAAGTGAAGTTGATCAAAATATCTGAGACTCTAAAGATATCAAAGGAAAGTGTTAGACATATCGTGAATGAATATTTGGGTATGAGAAAGCTCTAGGCAAAGTGGGTGCCGCACGAGCTCACAATTGACCAAAAACAACAACGAATTGATGATTCTGAGCTGTGTTTGAAGCTGTTTAATCGTAATAAATCTGAATTTATGTGTCGATATATAACAATGGGTGAAACATGGCTCCATAATTTCACACTAGAGTTCAATCGACAGTCAGCGAGTGAACTGCACGAGAGGAACCAACTCCAAAGCTTGGAAAGATGCAAAAGTCAGCAGACAAAGTTTCGGCATCAGTATTTTGGAATGCTCATGGTTTAATATTCATTGACTATCTTGAAAAAGGAACAACCATCAACATCGACTATTACATAGTGTTATTGGAGAGTTTGAACTAGGAAATCACAGAAAAACGGCCCCATTTGAAGAAGACGAAAGTGCTGTTTCATCAAGACAATGCACCATGTCACAAGTCAATGAAAACGATGGCAAAATTATATAAATTGGTCTTCGAATTGCTTCCGCATCCACGGTATTCTCCAGATTTGGTCCCCCGCTACTTTTTCCTGTTCTCAGACCTCAAGAGAATGCTCACTGGAAAGAAATTTAGCTTCCATGAAGAAGTAGTCACCGAAACTAAGCCCTATTTTGAGGCTAAAGACAAATCGTACAATAAAAATGGTATCGAAAAATTATATGACCGCTATAATCGCTGTATCGCCCTTGAAGGAAACTATATTGAATAATAAAATGAAATGTTATCATAAAAAATTTTTTTCCTATGTTAGCCTACGAACTTTTCAGCCCACCTGTTAGATAGATAGATAGATAAGGAAAAGGAGAAAAACTGATTAAATTAAGAAAATTAAAAGGTATTACTTACTGCACATAAGCTGCAAGTATGTAGAACTCATAAAATAAGTTAAAAATATAGAGGAATCATGGAAAATAATAAAGATTAACGAAAAGAGAAGAAGAAAAATTATTAAAATATAATATTTAAAAAAATAAAAGTATATATATTAAGAAGCCGGAAAACAGAAAAATGAAAAAATATAATCTCTGAGATATTATCTTCTTTTCATCTTTTTTGCTTTTTAGTATATATTTTTAAAATTTTTTTTTGAATATTTTATTTTAATAATTTTCCTTCTTTTTTCATTAATCTTTATTATTTTCCGTGTAAAAAATTACTACCATTGACGCCACCGCTATTTCTGAAACTTTTAGACGAAACAGCTTTTCATTCGCAATAACTAAAAAACCTTTAAATCATTCTTGAAATATTTCCCGTTCATGCAAGTTCATTTGAATTCGCTATTCGCTTTATAGATTTCGTTTCATGTTTTATTCTGTTTGTTCTTTATATTTTATTTTCTGTTCGTACGTGATGTTTTTACTTAATGTGTTCTATTTTATTTGTTAAAATTTTTTTGTAAAAATTTTTTTGTGCTCTCCTCACACTATTGTATTGACAGATTTTACTTTGGCTATATTGATACAGTATGAAAAAGCACTCCTATTTGCGGATATAATCGTGTGAGCTGATGAAAAGACTGTATTTTTTATTTTCCGGATTTTTATAGATTCGGATTATTATTAATCGGATTATAATTAAATCGGATATATTTTTCCGGTTTCTTATTGTTTTTATTTTTATTATTATTTCCCCTCCCCCTTTTCTCTTTGTTCTGTAATTTTATTTTTTCTCTATTTTCTCTACATTTTGAACTTATTTTATGAGATCTATTTATTTGCAGCTTATGTGCACTTATCATAATAAAACTTACTGTTTTTCTTCGAGTTTTTTTTCTTTAATTACAAGCAGAAATAGATTTTGACATTTTTTTATGATCAAATACTGTCCAATATTTACTTAAAAAAATCTGCTTGATTATCAGTTATATTCGCACTAAAATATTATCAAAGAAAAGCAGTTTCGAGTTGTTGTTTTTTCATTCATATTCAAACATTTATCAATAATTGATTTCTTAAAGTTACTGCTCTAACAGGCACTGAAAAAATCTGCTACAATATCGGAATTATATTGGTACTAGAATATAAAATCCTAATAAAGTAGTTTTAAATTTTTTTTCATTCATATTCAAACACTTATCAATAATTTATTTCTTACAGTTACTAATCAAACACTGAAAAAATCTGTTACTTTATAGGAATTATATTGGTACTAAAATCTAAAATCCAAAAAAAATTGTTTTAAATTTTTGTTTTATTCGTATTCAAAAATTTATGAATAATTGATTTCTTATAGTTACTAATCTAACAGGTACTTTTGTTACATTATCGGATTTATATTGGAACTAAAATATAAAATCCAAAAAAAGTAGTTTTGAATTCATATTCAAAAATTCATTCATATTTAAAAAGTTACCAATTATTGATTTTGTAAATTAAGGAAATAAATGGCTGCAAATTTCAAAAATTACTGTTTGGAAGTGAACAGTGTTAGGAAGATTTTGCCTTAAACTCAGAAAGAGACACCGGTGTTTCATAGCCTATTTCCTAACCGTTAATTATTCTTCGTCAAAGGGTAAAAAATTGAAATTTCCAGAATTTTTGCTAATTTTGTTAAAATTTTAAAAGCCTCGCCACGAAAGGACTGGTTTAAAATGGAGTTTCATTTGAAATTTGAAATCATTTGCATGTAGCGGTGGGGAAATAACTCTAAATCAAATTTACAAAACAAAGAATCGCACTTCTAAACCTTAACTTAGCCTCCACTACAACAAATTTTCTCAAGTATCCTGCAAAATTGGCTGCCCAGTGAACTTTTGCTTTATGTTAATTAGAAAAAGTCAAAAAAGCTCTAAAGTGGCCTGCATGATTTTAAATTAATTTTTTTTCGTAATTTTATACTACCCGGTCTTATGTCTACCGGGAAATTCTTTTTACAAAAAAAACAGGCTCCATAATAGAAGGAAGCAAATGGTACCTTTATAAATGAAAAAGTAATAGGGCATTCATCCTTAAATGTATGATCAGATATATTGCTTAATTCGGTTGGGTATTTTCGTTAAATGTTCAAATACTTATGCACATGTTCTTTAGCTCCATATATTCTACATATCTCTTTAATTTAGTTTTTCGAAACTCTGTCACCGAAGAAAATAAAAAAGCCATAGTTTAAGCTCCTTAAAATTGAAAAAAAATGCGATGATTTTAAATTAAATATAGAATCTTGCCATGAAGAATTATCATGACTTTAGAACAGGCAAATAACTTAAATATGTAAATAAACTTTTTTAAATATCGACAATTTGGCGACATTTTTCAACCTAGATGAAAATCATCAAAATCACTGCCGCATTCACAGTTTTTGCAAATTGTTATGAGCCAAAGTAATGCAGCATTGGAGTAAGTTTTTAAATATAAAAGAATTAGACCACAAATGCTTTTCATTTTCACAAAACTGTGTCTTTTCTCCGTATTGACATTTTGTGCCATTTTCAAAATAAGTGCAGACAGCGCTGGCGCTAAACTTGACCTAACAGTCATGAGTAACAGTTGCAAACTCACAGCACTAATAAAAATAGCATATTATTTGCAAAAAATTTATTGTTCCGTACTACGACGGAGCCTTCGAAAAACAGCCTTTAGGTAGAACATTACCATTGAGTTAGCGGGTAAATACCTTAATTTAAAAAATAATTAATAAAATAAAAAATTAATAAATAAAAAATTAATTTAATAAAAGAACCTTTTTCATTACTGTCAAAGATAGCGTGTACTTTCGAACACAGAAGACCCTAAGATTTTCTTACATGAAATCAGATTTTATGATTTGAAATTATGTTCTGGATCAGGCAGTGCAGCTGAATAGAGGGCGTTATACATAAGATTTAGAACAATTTTAATATTTATTTATTTATTTTATTAATTGCTTTCGCACAGAAAACCAAACTTCACGATCGGAATTTCCTTTCTGGAATTTTCTCTTAATTGAAAAAATATCCTGTGTTTTCCTTATACTCTAAAGTCATTCTGTACATCCATTTCATTATTTTATTCATAATGTAATTATGAGATTTGCTTATGATAAACCAAACTTTGAGTCCTTGATTACTCTTATAATAAACCAAATCAACTTCGTCATTTGGTACGTCCTAATTCAAAACAAGTTTTTCTTAAACTAAACACCTCTGAAGTTACGAAAAAATTCTCTAAGTATTTCTTGAGAAATTTAGAAAAATGTTGAAAATTGAAAATGTCTCTTCAATTATTGTAAAGTAGTGTATTCTTCACGCAAAATCAAATGAAATCAAACGTAAGTCAGTAAAATTAATGGTTCGAAAGTTTAAGTAATTATGCATAAAAAATACAGTTTTCTTCTTAGACCCATTTACTCATTACTATTGCTATATAGAATAAAAAACTATTACGTCCTATGTCTTACAAAAGTTAAGAAACAAAGTTTTGACTTTATATCTTCATGCGTCTGATTCTTAGACAAAGTAATACATAATTTTGAACACATATTTGTACGCCAATTCCAATGAAATTAATATTAAGTAGATTGGTCGAACAGTTTTTAAATAAGTGTTTGTTGTACTAATTTTATAAATCCGAAATTATATTTTTTCTACATGCAAGTCTCATAATTTATGAAAATCAACTTATCAATTTGCATTTGGTTTTATTATATTCACCGCTAGCAAATGCATTGGAAAGAATGTCTATCTCGTATTGAAATTAAAGTGTAAGTTTAGCTTCCAATTGCTCCAAAAAATGGATCACTATAGGCGTATGTCAAGACAAAATGGCACAGTGGTTAAGGTACTAAGCTGAGTTGTCATTATGATAAACCGGGGTTCTTATTCCCCAGGCGACATGGAGATCGCGTTATTTAACTTTAATTATATACGTTATTAGTTCNTAAACCAAATCAACTTCATCATTTGGTACGTCCTAATTCAAAACAAGTTTTTCTTAAACTAAACACCTCTGAAGTTACGAAATAATTCTCTAAGTATTTCTTGAGAAATTTAGAAAAATGTCGAAAATTGAAAATGTCTCTTCAATTATTGTAAAGTAGTGTATTCTTCACGCAAAATCAAATGAAATCAAACATAAGTCAGTAGAATTAATGGTTCGAAAGTTTAATTTTTTATGCATAAAAAATACAGTTTTCTTCTTAGACCCATTTACTCATTACTATTGCTATATAGAATAAAAAACTATTACGTCCTACGTTTTGCAAAAGTTAAGAAACAAAGTTTTGACTTTATATCTTCATGCGTCTGATTTTTAGACAAAGTAAGTGCATAATTTTGAACACATATATGTACGCCAATTCCAATGAAATTAATATTAAGTAGATTGGTGGAACAGTTTTGAAATAAGTGTTTTTTGTACTAATTTTATAAATCCGAAACTATATTTTTTTCTACATGCAAGTCTCATAGTCCCGCAGTGAACTGATCGTTAAGACACGGTTCCCAGCAGATCACCGAAGTCAAGCATCTCTGGCTACGGTCAGTGTGCGGGTGGGTGACCACATGGATCAGCCTGCGTAGGGACCGAGGGTGTGCGGTATTGGTCCTCGTTAAACTGTTCTACCGTGAAGTGCTCAACTTCGCGTGCAGGTCGTCGGGCTACCGAAGCGGGGGTGCCATCCCCTCTGCAGAGGATAAAACTTGTGATGGTATGTCTTCGGATCATCCTCAGGGATGTTTCCCAGACCGTCGCCAATAGCCCATAGTGCAGCTCTAGTGCAACGTAAATGAACAACAACAACAACAGCAAGTCTCATAATTTATGAAAATCAACTTATCAACTTGCATTAGGTTTTATTATATTCAATGTTAGCAAATGCATTGGAAAGTATGTCTATCTCGTATTAAAATTAAAGTGTAAGTTTAGCTTCCAATTGCTCCAAAAAATGAATCACTATAGGCGTATGTCAAGCCAAAATGGCACAGTGATTAAGGTACTAAGCTGAGTTGTCCTTTTGATAAACCGGGGTTCTTATTCCCCAGGCTAAAGGAGATCGCGTTATTTAACCTTAATTATATACGAAATTGGATCAGAAATGAATTAACATACATTAAATTTTTGTTTCATCTATTTTTCTTTCAGATTGTGATTGTGGAACTGGCTCCTTAGCATGTGTCAAGGTAAATGAAAAAAAAGTTTGTCTTTGCGAAGATGGTAGAGCTCAAAAGGGAGACACATGCGAAGGTAAGAGGAGTTTTTGCAATATAGTCTATTCTAAATATTTTGACAAATGCTTGAATATGTTGTGATATATCTTAAATTCTATTTCACTCGTCAATAGTTAGTGAGTTATTTAAAATTACTCACTAGCCTCGACTCAACTTGTAAACCTCGACTTTCTAAATAACTCTGTAAAACGATGTAAAATACAATTGGTTTTACACACTCCAATTAATTTTTTCTCTTCCAAATATACGCTCTCTTAATACACTACCGAGCAATTCAAAAATCAATGTAAGCTACAAAAAATTCAAAATTGAGATTTCTATAAATTTCATATTTTTGTATGATAAGCTATCGATTGCAATTTTTTTTTTCAGAAATAGTTTTTGCAAAGGCAACTTTATCTGCAGGAGAAAAGAAATGGCGTCAGACAAAGCTGACATTTAGACAGTAAAAACCATGCAAAGAATATTTTATTTTAAAAAAATATTTTCAGAATTTAATTCGGAAAATATACATATTTTTTAAAAAAAGGATATTATGTCTATAATCCATATATTTAGCATTTCCGTATATATTATATATATAACGGTCTGTTCAAGGAAAGTATATTAAGGAAAGGATATTTTTGGACTACCCTTCCCCCTTTGTCAGTAAAAGTAAGCAAATCACAAGCATTTTCCCATTACCTTAGGCAGTTGCTTCCACACCATTGATTTTTGACATTTGCAGTAGTAGTTTTTGGATTAAATTCAAATAAAAATATATAACTTCGAGTAAAACCAATTTTAAATTTTAATTTCGTTTTGAGTGGAATATTCTTAATGAATTTTTTGTGTTCATATCTCCTGACCTATAAAACTCCTTGATGAATTTATTTATTTTATTATTTTTCTCAAATTTTTCCTTTCATTATTCCTTAACATTTATTTCAGATTTGAAATTTTTTAATGTCTAACTTTTTCGTTACTTTTTTTTATTTTGTTTATTGAGGAAATTTTGAAAATAAAGGCATTTTAATGCCATGCGTAAACATTGCTTATAACACTCCCCCCCCTTGCGAGCAAAAATAAGAAAATCACCAAATCTCTTCCACCATAAGGTGCTTACGTAATATTAGAATGGCCCCTTTAATCCGTATATTTCGAATTTCTGTATATTTATTTATAGTCTGAAGTAGTCAGCCAGGTGACCAAGCAGTCAGCTTGCCTTATTGCTAAGTCAATGATTGCGGGTACAAACCCAACTGAGGTCATGGATGTTTCTGCGTGAGTTTTTTTTTTTTTGTATTGTATAATTTGTAAATGCGACCCACTCCAGGAATGGGTATGTATGGCAGTGTGGCGTGGAAAACGCTGCTTACCTCCGTGACTTAGGCAAAGAATATGATTTAAGTATGACTTTGACTTAGGTACAAAGGTTCCAACCGGGTAACGTTAAATGAGTAACACTTTCGGCATCTTCCGAGACTAAAGAACGAGAGTCAGTACCTGCTGCTAGAAAAAAAAATATTAACCTGAAATAGGCCCAGCACTCTGATAGTTTTATTGTTCTGTGTAAATTATTATGCATGAAACTTTAACACAAAGCCTCTGTAATTTAGTTCGTTAAGGGACTATAAAAATGAAGAGCATTGTAAGAGAAT